TTTTTGTTGTTGCTTGTTCTTTTGTTTTTCTCCTTTCACTTCCCATGGACTGGTCCGTCCCTGGGACAAACCGCTCGCTGTTGCTCGGTTGCAAAACTTGTAGAAAGCTTCCCTCATCGATCGGAAATTGCCTGCTCTCGGCACGACGGATCACATTACACTGACAGCGAGTCTTCATACTTTTGCCTCGTCGCACGGCTGCAAAGTTCGCTTGCGTGCCGTTTATACTTAATTGTAATTGAATTGAAATTTATTTTCAATTATCTTGTATTTGATAGGGACAAAAGCAACATAAGGGAAGTATAAAACCAAAAACTGTACGCGATTAATTGATAACTTGCGTTTTAGCTGTCAGCACGTATTCGAACCGTACAATGCTGGAAGTCCATTTTGCTTTCAGATTGAGACCCAAAAAGCAGACTAGCTAGAAACGATTACGTTGTCATACTACAAAAAAAAAAGAAAAAAAGTCCCTTAAAACTAAAATCGGCAAGTACCTTTTGTTGCCGCGAAAGTTATATTGTTTTCAAGTTAGAGGGGACGCAGTAATTGTCACTCAAGGAGCCAACATCTTCACGCTTGTCAATTCACTATTTCAGCTACGAAGGCCACCGGCACAGACACGCAAAACGTGATTGACTAAGTCTACTCAAACACGTGAACATTCTTAACCAATATTTGTCGACGAATCAAAATGCCTAGGGTGACTTTCGTGTAAAATTCTCTCATCGCATTTCCAGTTTGCACGAGGCATCCTTCGCTAGTGTACAGTCAGTGTTGTAACAACACAATAGAAGTAACGGCATAGCTGATAACGCGTTACTTGCTGTCTTTTTTTACATATAGTAAATAAATAATAACAGCTTTTCATAGACTTTTTATACATAGTACGCTCTAAGGGCTGAAGATAAGCCTAACTTCAGAAAAAGGAGTCTGCACTGTTGCATTGTGAATGGTCTTTTATCGTTCCCAATGTCAGAGGGCACGTTCTTTTGGGTCTAAATCTGTTTTTACTTTCAACATTCGCTGAGCTCTCGCAGTAGAATGCATCCACTGGTGCTCCCAATCGCTTTGTGGGAAAGTTCATGATTCCATATTTGTCCAGATTTCTTGGAATTTTCCCCGATTTTCCCGGATTTCTCAAGACTCCTTACAGCGTTCGAAGAACCAGAAATAACCGATATTGAATATCACTTTTTTTCACTTGCAGCATTTTCCTGCCATCGCCTGCCTGGAACCTCGGTATTTGTTGGAGTATCCCGTCGCAGTGGCCGCCATCTTAGCGACCATTGCTGCTGCTACCGTGTGGCTTCAGACAAGACACCAGAGAAAGGGCATCCTCCCTCCGGGCCCCAGAGGCACTCCGCTTCTGGGTTTCCTGCCCTTCCTTGGCAAAAACCTTCATGTCATGTTCAGAGACCTCGCTGAAATCTACGGTCCTGTCGTGAGGCAAGTGTCCAATCCTTTTACACGCACGTGTGATCACCTAGTGCTCTAAAACAAATGACTGCGCGCCTATCTTTTTTACGCACAGACCTTTTCGAAACGATGTGACTATGCTCTGTGCCGCATGAATGTAAGAACACACAATAGGGGCGTTACGCTCACAAATAGGAGATTGGAAGATTGGCGTAAGAGATTTGTGCAAGTGCGAAATTGCGCACAAAAATGAATGTTTTATGTGTTCGTTGTTTTCGTTGAATCCGAAAAAATCAAAAAAAAAATCCGGAAAACTTCGAATTTTGATGTTAAAACTGTCAAATAAGAAAAAAAAGACCGCATTACACGTGGTGAATGATGTTGATTGGGGCGAAGCTCTGGTGGTGCTGATACGCTGAGCTGCAGCATGCCGAGCTTTTCGTTCGTTTTCATCCATGTCAGAAAGAGAATATGGGGTATGGAATGTGGTTATATACGCATTTGAGCATTTGACCGCAGCGCCCTCTGTTCTATAAACGTTGAGCCAATGCATGCAAAGTTTAACGCGATTATATACGCATTTCACCGCAGCGCCCTCTCCTGTATAGAAGTTTAGAGGCTACATGCAACGTTTCATCCACATCCCCACCTCTTGAGTTACTACCACATCTCAGAGCTCCCTACTCGTCCTGCAGTCGTGGCCGAGTGGTTAAGGCGATGGACTAGAAATCCATTGGGGTCTCCCCGCATAGGTTCGAATCCTGTCGACCGCGCAAACATTTTTTTCTTTTGTTAAGAAGACAGATGGGATGGCAATCGATGTGAGCACGGACGCCGGACAAGGCTAGACACTAAGAAGCTTCGCCCCTAAAGAGACCGCGTTTTACAAATAAATTTTATCAGAGCACAGCGTCAGTGGTCTGAAGGAGGCTTAAACTTGAGTTACGTGTGAAGTCTCGAACTTCTGAAAGAAATGTTTGTCTTTTAGCTTTTTAATGTTCCTTCAGGACAACAGGTCGTAGTACCCGGACTTCATTTATTTAGTTTTTGCGCTTTCTCTTTAATCGGGAACAAGTAAAATAAACTCGAAATTTTAGAGAATTCGTAATTTAACAAAAATAAACTCCGATAAACTCCGAATTTATGCGAAACTAAATTCCGGGAAACACCCACCGAATTTCACGAGAAATAAACTCCGAAAACACAGAATCCTAGATATAAATTGAGCTTCTTGTTTCCGTTAACTGCTGGTAAACCCATAAATATCGCACCAAGCCGGTCTTGCCAAAATCGGGGAAAACCGAAAGACTTAGAATGAAGGCTGCGCTTGAATAAGAAAAGCCCATTCTGCACAGGAAGAGTTTTGGTTTACAGCTTCACTTTTTGTTGACTTATAACAGAACTCGTACTGAACTGTCCGCGAGGTGGCTTTTTTTCCTTCGGAAACGACTCCCCTTATCCCGTTCCTTTGTATTATCAGTACACAGATGTTTTCATAACATTTGAGCCTTGACCACGTTCCTTACAGGTGGGGGAACCCATGCTCGTATCCAGTTTTCTTGTACATGGGCCCCGATAAACACCGATTTTCTTTTTGTCCACACCGAAAACTGATACCGAAAAACATTGAATCTATGGGGAGAAGATAAACCCCGAAAAAGCACACCCCAACTGTAAGCAAAATAATCCCCTAAAGCACAGAACCCTAAAACTTATAGACCCTTTTATTTGCAAACGCCACCAGGCGGTTTTCCAGTGTATGACATCCCAGCGCCAAAAGAACAAAGAATCGCGAGATGTGTTCAAAGTTTTCTAATATTCTTGCAAACCAACTTGTCCCCTCCAAGAAGTTGTATCGCACAATTGAATTTCCTCGCTAACCCTCTACCTTTACTCTTTGTGTAGCATTCATACTTTTTAGCACTGGTGACATAAGCAAACTGGACGGGGTTGCAAAAACGGAGTGACCGGAAGTCGCTTGGGACGCAAGCAGCGGTTCGTGCTTGTAAACAGTAAAAGAGCCTATACGGTTTAAAGCCGGGGTCACACTGCATATACATCATACAAAAGACAGTCTGCACACAGATTCGAACGCGAGTCGCCGCGAGATTCGTGCTTCGAATGCCACATAACAATGAGTTCGAGAAGAAAACTTGACACGCTGCATTCGAACCACGGATATTGCTGTGACTCGTGTTTGCAGACTGTATTTTGTAGGATGGTGCACATCGCGACACTGCTAGTGTGAACACGACAACAACACATTTTCGCATTTTATTAGCAAAGAGTATTAGTGGGCACACAATTTCACTCCTTATATTAGAGCCCCAAATGAGCTCTTTCTATAACAATGATATCTTTGATGACAACCTTTCGGTTCTTAGAGAACTGGCGATCGCTTGTTCGTGCTAACAGTGTCGCGCTCTGTACGAGTAGCGTGACCCCGGATGCTTAGGAATACTAAACCAAACATTTCATTGGCCATAAGTGCCGCAAAGTCTTTCCACGAGCCAGCGGCCGCCGGAGTGCGCGAGCACAGCCAACGAATTTGACGACAGAGTCCTCCATTCACGCTGAGAATGATAGTGAAATGTGTGAACTCCGGGGAAAAGAGAAATAAAGACAAGCTTTGCATCTCCATACAGATGCAAAAGGTAGGCGATTCATTACTCTAAAAAGCACGTAGTTTCCACCTGTGGTGATGAAAAGCATGTCTTTACCCTTCTTTAGCACGGCGCCCGCACATATCCCTGTCATCTTACGCGGTACTGGGGGACAATGACGTCAGTTTCGTTGTATGCGCTCGCGCACACCGGCGGCCGCTGGCTCGTGGAAATATCGTGCGCAACATATTATGGACACTAAAGTGTTTGGTTCAGTATCCCTTTAACGGGAGCACGGTGTAAGATAATAGGGAGCTTTCGTAGATCGTCTTCGCCATCTCGCAAGGCCCTGCGCAACCCGCTACGATAGCGGGAACTCCACAGTCCAGGCTATCGGCGCGCAGGCGCAGTAGCAACTTCTTCGTTGCGGAACGCTTAGCGGAGGGGGCGACGCGGTCTACGAAAACTCCCTAATACTCTTCAGGTGAGGACAGTTCGCTCTTCACTCTCTCTCACTATCGTTTCAAGCGGCGTCGGCAGGTGACTCGTCGACCCGTGGGCACGTACAAGACGGCTCGTGCCGCCTCATGTACCACATGAACGGGAGACAAAATTTCCTGGGCCGAATTTTAAAGGAGGTGCAGAAAGGCCTCTATGTATAGACCTTTCTAAAAAAGGGCTCCTGGCCGGCTTCATTTTCAATGTTTGTACGCATGGTGCATGCATGATTTGCTCGCTTTCCAAAGAGATGAACATGCGCGTGCTGGGCTGTGGAGATTCCACGCTCGGCTGAGGACATGCATATATTGAAAAGGTGCATAGTAGGCGCAAACTGCAGCCCGTTAAAGCCTGATTCCCGTGGTGGCTTGTATACTTGCAATTCCGCAGTTGCGATGTCGCTTCTGCGGGAAAATAAATGCCCGAGGGAAGTTGCTGCGCCCGACCTCCCAGCCTCAGATTCGCAAGCAAAATCGCACCATGTCGAACGGGCTTGAAAGGTAAAATACCGCTACCATCCATTAATTTGTCGTCGCTTAGCCGCTGCTTTAGATACCGTATTTACTCCAGTAATAGCCGCACTGCTTATGAAGTAAACCTGAGGGTTCGGTTTTCCGCGGAGCACGCGGATTGCCAATCACCGCGATCGGCAGCATGATTCCAGCGGTTTCCAGGACAGAGATAACGTCTTAGCGTGGTGATACTATCTGTAGAGATTGCATTTGATTGAAGAATCGTGTTCTCGATCTGGTTATTCGCTATGTTATTTATTCGAAACACGATGATTGGCTGTGTATGTGTTCTGCGGGAAAGTAGACGCAAGGGCCTTGTTCATAAATAGTGCGGCTATTACTCGAGCAAATACGGTATTCTTCCTGTGAACAGGTGACTTGGATTGCTCCTTTTCAAAGACATCCGAACGTCTGGTATTACATTTAGGAATGCCACAAAGTTTCGTCGAATCTTGAGGACTGACTGCTTCGGCGAACCTCCGAAGTTTTGGCAAACTCGGTAAAGTTCAAGCAACCTCTACGCAAAATTTCAGAATGTTGAGAACCACTACTAATACAGGTGCTTTTTTTTAAGTTTCATAGAATAATCACTAATTATGCCCTCCCAATAGAGAAACGAACATGTTAACTTTTATTAAATTAATCAGGTCGCCAAAATGATGCACCCTCCTTTGCCAGGCGGATCCACTTCATTTTAAATTTTCGCGAGTACGCATACTAAATAAATTTTTGTCGTACTTTCCTCTAACTTGCAGCTGAAAGTTCGAAAAAAAAAACTAGAACCAACCCGATTTCTGAAGGTACGCAACACCCTTATTGCAACCTGCATTGCCAATTTTTTCTCCTTTTCCAGAATAAGAGTTGGAACCGCCAACATCGTGGCCCTGAACAGCTACGACTCTATCAAAAATGGTCTGTCCAACAGCGCCATACAGGGTCGCTCTCGCAGCGTGTTCCTTGACCAATCCAAGTCGCCAGGTGTGCCTTGTTCTACTTCTGACAGCGATAATAAATCATGCGAAAAATGCCTTACTAAGAAAGCTTAATTGGATTTTCAGAGAATGTGGAAATAATCTGAGCACATGCCTATGATAACGATCCTAACCGCATGATATTTGTAGATTAGAGATACTTCACCACAGTGTATTTCCTAAGTACCCCTAGTGTGCCGGGAAATATTGTGAAGAGGTGGAAACGTTCCTACGCTAAGTGACGCAAGCTACCGGCCAATATACTGACTAGAGAATCTAGCATTCGGCCATTCATTCATGCCTTTTGTACTTTTTAAGCTTGCTCACGTAAAAAAAAAAAAAATCTAAAATTAAAAAAAATTAGTTTATTAATTCAAACGCATTGGGTGTGTAATGACAGCGACTAATGCAACCTGCTCGTTTCGTATCCTTCAGGCATTGCAACTCTCAACGGAAAAGTGTGGCTAGAGAACCGTCAAATGTGTTTGAAGCTGCTTCGAGAACTTGGAATGGGAAAAGCGTGCCTCGACGAAAAGATTAGGGTAAGATTTGGAAGCAATGAACTTCGGTTGCTGTTTGAGCAGCTGCACAACTATGGCATCGTCGTCGACGCAACGAAATACGTCTTCGGAACATCCGAACTAGACTTCCTGAGGGATAGAGGGACCCCTCAAGGCATGTATCTGTTGCCTTCTGAAGTCCAGGTCATCAGGTACTTCCCGCAGCCAACTTCATTGCGCACGCTACTGGAATTTTCGGGTCTCGTTAATTTCCATATACGTTTCATAAACAACTGCGCCCAAATTCGCAAACCACTTACACACTCCAGATAACCGGCACCGGTTATATGGAACCGGAGGTCACTAGAGGCATTCACGAGTGCGAAACAAGCTCCCGTCAAAACAACACTCCTTGCATATCAATGACCTCAAGCACCCACAAGGCTCCTGGGAAGGGACGTTCCCCCACAAGTTCATGTTCCGTCCTCATTCCCCTTTTAAAGTGGGAAGAACAACACTGCGGTGACAATGCATGCGGTCAGGTATTTTGCCCCAAAAATAGAAATAGTAGGGTGTCTAAATTTTTAGCGGGGAAGGGGGGGGGGGGGGGGGTGGGATCGAGAATGGAGGAATCGTTGCAAATCAAGGGGTTGCCTTCAGAAAAACAAGGGGGTGTGTAGGAAAATCACCGGATTCAGTGTTTAGATAAAATAAACTCCTTTCTGAGTCTCCAACTTTTTGAACTTAGATCATCTGCTAAAAGGCACCCAATTACTACTGCTCAAAGTTTTAAGATTAAGGAAAACGAAACTCATTTTGTTACTAGACGTCCGGCATTTTCGTGAAGTGTGTAATACATTGTGACATCAAATCATCAGAAGAAGGAAAAGCCCATCTTTTTTACGCGTTATTTAGCGGTTGTGCACACGAAAATCGCTATAGCACGGTCGCTGTAGCGATCTAATAACGAAACTTATGAGACGTCGTAATATGTATTACCAACTTCATACAAAGCTTACATATGTGTGATCTCATTTACTTCGATATATCGGTATATGGCGCGCACTTTTCAATAATTACCCATAAGTGAACCAGAATTTGCAGGGAATTCCCACTAAGCTCTAATTTTCATTGGATGTAAGGGCATTTGAACAACGAAAACAACCCAAATGTATGTGCCAACACCAAGCACGATCATTCAGACGCTCACTGTTCGGGCGCAAAGCGCACTTGTTTGCTCAGACATTGATCCAAACACCATCACTGTCCAATCATTCGAATAACAGGCATTGGTTCTCCATGAAGCAGACGAACAAACATTAGAATACTTTATGTTTTTGGTATAAATTAACTGACATAAATAAGTAAGCTGTTAGTGACGACGTCAGCGTAGCATTACCACGCCACAACCTGGTAACGGGCACCAGCCGTTAAATTCGGCGAGCAATCTCTCTGCCAACAAATGCAGCTAGCTTCATCGGCTCGGAACATCTTGACCTTTGATAGCCATCGCAATAGCATCAGCTCCGCACCTGTGATCACTGGCGGGTAACGCCTCAGTCCCATTTGCTGTCTTAACCTTGCATGTGACCGTAGCGACAACCAATTGCGGTTTTGCGTTGGACGTCTCAGTGTAAGACCCGGTACATAAGTGACTGCAGCGAAATTTACCGAACCGAAAACGTATTCGACATACTTATTACGATTTTATTGGGTATGACTAAAGTACTGCAACAAATATGCTATTCCGTAATCACTGAGAGCAAAAAAAAAAATGCAGCCTGTAGATTGTCATGTTCACCTTTCTTGCTTCCTGATTCGTTCATCTTCATTCTTATCGGTCAATGCCGCAGTCTCGTTGGCTGCGGAGCCATAATAAGATACTCGTGGCACGCCACGCCCCACTGCAAAGTAAGTAACGTGTAATATCCGCTCATCATGAATGCAGGACGAGGTACGGTGTCTCCTGAGTCAAATTTCGGAGCTGAAAGGAGAGCCTGTCTTTATCAGCAAGTACACCACACCCAGCATATCGAACAACATCACGGGCCTCCTGTTCGGGAGAAGGTACGACTTCGACGACCCGCGGCGCGTCTACCTGGACGAGAACATGGACGGCGCCGGAAAGGCCCTTTCGTCCGGATCACTCGTCATGTTCCTCCCCACCTGGGTGTACACCATCGGGGCCCACCTGCCCCTCACAAGGATCTACGCTATAAAGCGCTGTTTTGCGAACATCGTGAACTTCACCAGGTGAGCCACCTCTTCAACGGACACGTGTTTCCGTGTTCACGACTCGGGAACAGCCCGTTGATAGTTGCTCTTGTACGACCCAACATATTCTTTACCTTCTCTATGAGTAAGTTACCTATGTTTTCGCTGCCTCCATTTAGGATAGTGCTGAATCGTGTCGTCTGCTACGACCGTCGCCATTTTGACTCCAGCGCTCTGCTCCTTCGCTTCCCTGTAAGCGTCGCGTACAGTAGCGAAGTTCGGCATTACAGAACTGATTCTAACAATGAGTATACTTTGCTCCTGTCACAAGAAATGAAAGGCCTATGCCTTCCTTGTTGCACTGGCCGCCGATCACAACGATTTAGATAAAGCCACTTTCTTGAATGTGTCAAGGTCCATCATTTTCAATGCCAGAAAACAACTTTCAGATTCTGACGAACACGCGTCTGTGGCCAAGCTAAAACAAAACAACAAGAAAACACTCTTAGAGGTCAGACGTCGTCAGGACAGGTGAGTTTGTCCAGCAAGTACACAAAATTGTGAACGACGACCCCAGAAAGTCAAGGAGGACTATTGCCAAGCGGCTTGAGGTGGCAATCTAGTATCAGGTTTGTGCTGCATGGGGACTTTAAATACCAGTCGTACGTGATGAGGAAAGGGCAGTTTATGTTTTAGCAAAAACAAAAATCTGTCATCCAGTCCAAGCGCCTGTTGTACATGATCAGGTACCCTGAGGAACCGGACTTGCTTTGGTTTTCTTTTCACGAGAACTTTGACCAAGACCAAAAGGTGTTCGGGAGGACTGAATTCGCCATGAGGTCCCTACAGTCATGGTGGATAAAACTTCTGTCATTTCTAGTCATCGTAGCTGTTGTGAACAACGAGGGTCACGGCATGCCGCTGCCCGGCATGTAACACGGCCTTAGGGTCAACTCGAAGGCATACATCAAGACACTGGGCACTGTAGTCAAACAATGGATAGAAGGGGTGGCCTATGGAGGCTTTGCATTCTTCAACAAGACTGCTTCATGCCCCACGGGCCAAGCGACCCAGTATTGGCTGGCTGGCGACCTTTACAACCAGGTCATCCCCGAACAGGTGGCCTCCCAACTCTCGAAATATAAACTCCCTGGGACAACTGTCTGAGGCGGCGTCGAGAGAGCGACCAACAAGCGGCCTTAAAACTCCAAAGTCGTAAAAGGCTGCCAGTGTGGACACTACGGCCAACACCAACGAGGACTCCTTGATCAGGGCATGCAGCCGTTTTCGAAGCCGTATCGAGTCAGTCATTTCCGCTGAAGTTGGTTTTATCATATGAAGATCCCGAACACGAATTGGAAACAGTATCTGCCAATTTGTTTTACAAATATATTCATATTTTCATAAGCATCTTTTTGATTCAAACCGCCGTTATGTTCTCAGATACCTCGTGCACCTTATGTTACCAATTTAGTGGTTTTTTGGGGCCTTCAAGATTAAGCGTTCATTAGTTACGACAACCTTCCTATGGCTTACACGAAAGTTCCAGGTGACAGGCGCTGGAACACCTGTTCAATTTTCTTCCTTTTTTCATTCCAGGGAACGCACCAAAGAATATCGACTGTCACTGGACGAAACTTACGACCAAAGTTTCATCAAAAGCTACCTAGAAAAGACGACTGATCACCAAAAGCGTCCGTCGCCTTACTTTAAGCGTATGTGCTCGTATTTTTCTTTTTCAATGCACCGATCTGACTAAGCGTTCTACGCATGCGTGGCTCCGCCACAACCATAGTTCATACACCGTTCCAAAGTCTGCAAAATCACAGTCCAGCGTGGGAACGCCACAGCCCAGCACGCGCATGGTCATGGCTTTAGAAAACGAGCGAAACACGCGCGACATGCACGAGCTCTGAAGAAGCCCGTTTTTAAAGTGGTCTATTAGCGGCGAGATGCTTCGGTGGCGCCCTCATTCGGTTACATTTCGTGACGTCATTACCTTGTGAACAACAAGCTCGATGGTGTTTGTAATGGGCATTCTGGAAGCCTGAAATCATAGTGGTCTCAAAGCAACCCCGCCAACCCCGTCAAAATTGAAGTTCTTACATTCCTCTTATTTCCGTCGATGAGACATCCCTTGCTGACGTCATAGTCAGCATTCGGCCAATTGTGGTGGGCCGACCACAGCGACGCTTTCGATCGCTCAAGTCGCCAATAGGAGTGGGGATCGGTGGCCGAGTGGTTTAGCGCACACCAGCTCGGAGCACGTGGAGCGAAAGCTCGCGCTGCAGAACCCAGGGATCCTGGGTTCGAGCCCCACCCCTGCCCGTTTCGATCTGGATGAGCATCGTACCGGCGTGCGGTCGTGTATCACTACTGCGTGGTGCACGTTAAAGATCCCAGGCTAGCGGCTGTACCGCACTGGCTAAATTTCTCATCTACAGCTGGGAGACTCGTCGCCCCTGTGAGGCAGACCAAGTTCTAGGCTGTATAAACACACACACAACCCAATTTTTTTCGCCAATAGGATGCAGGAGCCAATAGGCATATTGTTAAATTACCCAAGCATCAAGGAGAATGCACGGATTGGTGTTCCACGCGCCACACTCGCACGCCTTCCCCGTATAAAAGATTCGAAGTAAATAACAAAATAAAGCGTTGACAAACCCGTGTGCAAGATGCAATTTGTTTTAGGCATTTGCTTTGGAAAAGTTACTACTTATGAGGCCAGCACGTGCGGCGCGGGGAACACCAATCTCTGCATTCTCCTTGATGCTTGGGTAATATAGCAGTAGGTCTATTCACCAGGCAGCTCGTGCCCACCGGCTCGTGCCGTCCCGTGTTCTGATCACGCAGACCCTCAGCGAAGTTGTCGCGCGTGCAGGGTAACTATGATTCCCACGATGGCCGTGTTCCAAAATGTACTCGATCTTACACCAGGGTGTAACTAGGGTAAGGGTTTTGCACCTTGGCGTTTATAAACCTAGCCTTGTCCAGCGATATTCAATCTGAGTTGTCACGTGACATGACCCGCCGGAGTAACTCGGATCCGTTTGGGCAAGATTTGGAACACAGCCAACGTAGCTGGTGTGACGTCATTTTCGGCCGTGCCAGTGTTTTATATGCCGCGAGCGTTAAGTTCGCCGTCTTAGTTGCACACCGTAGAAGTTGTAGTTCGAAGAAACCAGTAAGTGGATATAACCGTCAGTACCCAACAATGGCGACACTTGCGAGTTATGTATTGACTATTGAGGACCTAAACACCGAGAGTGTTAGTGGCAAAACGCACACTTGTTCTCTGAACTTCTGCTGAAGAATACTAGCAAACAAAGAAACTTAAATGATGTCTATGGATTAGCGTCCTTTTTTTTTAATCGTTTACTCCTGAATTATATTTCTCTCGGTGTATCAAAAACAATAAAACCGTTATAAAGCTTGTAGGTACGACAGGAGCGGACGCCTTTTATCTTAAAAATACGTTCGTTAAAATATTTCGAAAGCAATAAACCACAAAAAGACTATCGAGAAGTTCCGTATAGTATAGTATCCCGAATCAAATTTATGCCTATATATGGGTGCGCCCTGGAGTTTTTCAAGAGGTACTTCAACGGGTACCCTGGGTACATGCCTTCTCTTGGTCTCGTAAACCAATTTTGCTATTTAGGCCGTGACCCAGCAATGGAAGTTGGATATCCCAATTCTTATGAAATGTTTACTTTTTATATATTTTTTTAAATATTTACAACACCTCTCGGTGTTCTTTGTAGTTGTCACTTATAAGTGTGCACGTATTACGACATCCTCTGCCTTGTTGCTTTCCTCCTTTGTGATGCACTGCTAGTTGACTCTCAGGTAAAATAAATTACAAAAAGGGAAATGGAACTTGAAATTTAACCAATGTTGTTCCCATTTATGCAACATGAAAAAAAAAATGCCTGAACTTCTGAGTCATTGCAATATAAAAGCAGATGGAAAACGTACTAAAAAAGGAAGAAAGACGTTAATCTATCGATTCTAGCAAATTCAATTAAATAGCGAACACCAGAGTACAATCGCGAAACATTCGAATACTAACATATTGTCCCGAGTGGCAATTGATGAGGCGACGAAAACTGAATCAAACTAAACGTTTAATGGGACCAACTTGTGCACAAACAGAAAGGAAACAGAAAAGAAGAGTAGAGCGTCGCGGGCATCGAAGTCGGTGTAACAGCAGGATCGAACGCTGGGGCGAGACTGACTGCGGATCGCCACGCAGAGCCCTTTATGTACACGCGTTGGCACTGTGGCAATCGGCGTAGAAGGTTCGGTGCGTTGAACTTTCGGACTTCGAACAAGCCCAACAGGGTTCTTGAATTTACCAGAACATTAAACTGAAAGAATAGATAAGAGACGCGTAACTCCCAGGAATCGAACACGGAAGTCAAGCGCGGTAACCACTCGGCCACGCACGCGCTCGCTCGCCGGCGGGCGTGGCAATATCATAGTTGACGAGAATCCTCGTATCTCTGGCCTTACTGCATATGCCCAACCTTCCCTAGCCCATCGCCAGGCTGCACAGCATCTACAGAAAGGCACGCACTCCGTTGTTTGTAATTCAATGTATCGCAATGGTACACACAACATTGTTATTGACGAAGGAAACACTCAAAGTACAAATACCAAACTGCCACGCTTTCGCGCTAATACCATCTGATCATGGTGCCATGTCATGTTTTAACCCCGCCCAACATTTTTCTGAAAGCCTTGTCGCCACACTATACTTCGTTTCAGCTTCGGTCCAGACGCAGCCAAAGCTGCAAGCGCGAGCTCCGGGCTTTCAGCATCCCTGCCAAGCACACGCGCTCGTGCAGTGCAAGCACTGTTTTGGGCCACATGCTCGCGCTTGTAGCATCGGCTGCGTCTGGACCGAAGCTGAAACAAAGTATAGTTTACCTATCGCGTGTCGACGCAGCGGAGTACATTCCGGGCCACGTGCAGACTTTCTTCGGTGCCGGCACCAACACCATCAACCGCATGGTCCTCTGGCACCTCCTCAACTGCGCCGACAAGCCGGACTCGGTCCAGAAGCGGATCCAGGCCGAGATCGACGAAGTGATCGGCCAGGAGCGCCAGCCGACGTGGGAGGACCGCCATCGAATGCCCTTCACCGCGGCCTGCGTCTGGGAGATGCACCGCTGGAAGCCCGTTTCGCCCTTAGGAATACCCAGAGGGTGAGGGGCGTTCTTTTTATATCCATTCCATGTAGCGGCGTAGACGTTCCATTTTACCGGAGGGGGGGGGGGGGGGGACAGGACAGGCTGAGAGATCTCCGGAGAGAGAGGGGGGGGTGCAACGTGGGCATTATTTTGTGTACATGCCACTACTAGAAACTCGTTACATTGCACGTAAACAGCGTTTCGGTAAGGATCATGGCCCAGGCCCGGGGGGGGGGGGGGGTGCTCCGCCCCCACACCCTCGATCTCCCCAGGGGGGGCACGAGCCCCGATGCCCCCCGTAGTCCACGCCTATGATTCCATGGTTGTTATATTTCATTGGACACCCGTTCGCTGTTCTGTGTAACTGAAAGGAACGTTGTATGCGTGAGTTGAGAGAAACTCTGTAAGATAACTTTTCTTTGCATTTTTGTACATTGAGGGCACAACGTCACAGAGTCTAAAACATTGGAATATCGACTGGTCACCACAAAGGTAAATATGAACTGAAGATTAAAAAAAAAAAAAAGAATAATACCGGATGTTGAAATAATTTTTGTCCCATTCAAAAGTTCCTTGCGTTCTTTTAGGGATAAGAGCGCGCGGGGGCACCAGGGCGACGAGCTCTGGTTGATATGGTTAGTGAGTAGACGCAGAGCTAGTTGCCTTTGTTTCTACTCACTGTTCGAAAGCGAACGCCGGACACGGTCGTTCGGCGTTCGGCTCACGTCACGTTCACTGTCGATCATTGGAATTCCACACCAAAAGGGGAAAGCAAACCATATCGTATCGGTCATGCGCACGTTTATCGACTACGATTCTCAAGGACTTAAAATAAGATTATCTAGATATAGCCATAGCCTATGAATCGAGCAACCTTATTACGGAGTGTTTGGAGCATCGGCCACCAGTATTCGCCCCTTTTTTTGTTTCGCAACAAACTCAGCGGCGCCATCTATTGGGTAGACGCACACGTCAGGTTCATGTATATTTCCTAATTTATTTTTCTCACAATTTTTTATCATAAGAGCGAATGAAGTATGACAGTGCTATAAGTGGCCAATTCCAGAAGAGATCGCGCATATTTGATATCGAAAATACAGCGAAACCAGCCGTCGATAGTTCAGAACCGCAGGTGGTTGGACACAATTTGCACACTAGCGCCACCACGTTTCAACTCACGCGAGAAAGAGCGAATATGAGAATCGTTTGGTCCCAATGCCTGCACATTATCCATTGGCTAAAATGAACCCCGATATCTCAGGGCTGAGGAGGACACAGAGATCGACGGCTACTTCATTCCCAAGGGCACCGTTGTGATAGGCAACATCTGGGCCGTCCACATGGACCGGAACCTGTGGAAGAAACCCGAAGAGTTCGACCCGACGAGATTCCTCGACCAGACGGGCACCAAGATTTTACCCAAGCCCGACTACCTCATCGCTTTTTCCGTTGGTAAGTTGACGTGTCTTGCGGGCAATTTCTTTTTTCTTCATTACCCTGTCTTGTTTGTCGTCTTCTACATTTATGCGTTCCAGGGCGAGGAGGGGTTTTTGGAATAATAAACACGACTTCCAGGATTCGCGTCCGCGCAAATTCTGGAAACTAACTTTGCGTTCAGCGCGGGTACTGGCCCAATACCACCTAGTGTAGACATGGCCTGCGCTTTTAGGTTATTGCTGGTGAAACGCTCACCCAACCCGAGCGGCAAAAACGCTGAAGCTCAATGCTGCCCTACAATGTTATTTTTAAAACTCCGCAATAAGGTTGCTCGATCCATAGAGTGAGCTACATCTAGCTCACTCTAATTGAAGTCCTTGAGCACCGTAATTGAAGTCTAACTGAAGTCCTTGAGTATATCATAGTTGGAGGCTGAAGCTTAACGACATTGTGTGCTAAAGCGGATGCCCGTATTTTGCCGTCGCCACCTGCTATCATCGCGTTCGTTGTGAGATGCCACAAGAGGAGCTGCTTGCGACGCGAACGCCAGCTAGGTGGCGCTGTGGGGATCCACTAGTGGTGACGTTAGAGAAAAAGCCTAGGCTTTGCCTTCTTGGTGGTATTGACTGGACGCGAGTTTAGCGTTTGCTTTCTGGGCCTTGATGACTCGAAATGTTCTGGCCGTAGTTGACCTGGTGTATGCCCCAATATAATTTCCCTTTTTTTTCGGATTTTATCTATCCGCAGAGGAGGCAGAGATAATGGCATGATTGAGAGCGCCTCTGCCCCCTGCAGTTCATACAATGGAAAAAAACATTGCAAACAAGTCCCAGTGAGAGTAAATAACAAGACAGCGATTGTCATAAAAACAAATAGAAACAGTTATTATAGAAATATTTGAAAAATACATGAAATACAATGACGCAACTCAAACAACTATACGCAAGCGGCACAGCTTGAACAATGTGGGGCGATATGCTTTTCGTAACACAGAAGTAAAATAAAATTAAAATAAAGATAAAAATAGAAACCAATTTTTACATATCTACTAAACGTAATACACAAGGATTTATAAAAGAAAGGGGAAACAAGCCAAACCAACACCAAACTTGAGGCTACAAAACTGAAAATGAAGATATAAAAGATTTCTATACGTTACGTTTCATTGAAAATAAATATAAATTAATATACATGCCTTAAATAGATGAAAACTCGTCTGAAGATTTCTTTTTTTGTGACCATTTGAAAAGGATAATTGAAATTAACACCAATGCCGGGGGAATTTATTAATTTAGTCGACATGTACGATAAACTGTGCCTGTCATGGTTTGTTCGTATGCTTGGGATTCTGTGTTTCGGGTCTCGTAATGAGTAGGCCCAAGAATGAGGTGTCTGTGTAAGATTGTTTTTGTAGATACACTGAGATAATTAAAATTGATTTATCTGGTTTGTTTTCGATATAATATTGACTCGTCTGAAAACACCTGTGGTTTAGATGTAACCATCTTGAACGCGGATACTGTTCGCCGCGAGATTCGTCCGCAGCAGATGTTTGCTAGTAGCTCAGGTACCAGAGAGCATTACCAAGCCATCCATAGGAATCAACCGATGAAAAAAAAGCACGTGGTCCACACTATTGAACGAGACGCTCGTGGCCAGAGCTTAATCGCAACTATATGGAGACGTTTCCAATGTTTTCATACACGTTATTTATAAAAATGGAGCCTTCCGTGTAAATGTTTTCAATACACACCAAAATTGAACATCGCCTGAAAATAAGTTGACGTGTGATTTCGTTCGCGTTAAGAGAACCTTCCTTGTTATCAGCGGATATAAGCCTGGCTGTTTCGCTGTGCCTCGTTTACCATAAAATGACTAGAATGTAATTGATTTTAAGCAGCATGAGGGTTTCATTTGAACTTGATAAAACTCGGGGACTTGTGGGGAGGGGGGGGGGGGGGGGCTGAAATGTCTTTTAAAACATATATGCCAAAGGTAACTTCCTGAAATTAGAGAAACTTCCCCTTAAAAAAATTACAACCCAAGAAATTAATTGAGAAAACAAACTTAAGTGCCTCGACGTGTCATAAGTCAAAAACCAATTTGATCTTTCTGTTCACAACTTCTTTTTGTTTTCGAACCCTAAAATTCATCCAAACTGCAAGAACTTTTTTTTTTTTTTTATCTAGCAGGTTCTTTTTTATAATGAAACAACCACTTGTTACTTTGTGTATACATAGATTCTATGATGCTATATTGTGCGTGTTGCTTATGTTTTTAAAAATAGTGTTTTGCTCGAGAGCCCCGATAAGTTGGGTCGAATTCATATATAAGACCATTTAAGTATATAACATTCGCAGACATTTCTTTAACGAACTTTTTTTTTTGCTTTAAGAACTGAGTCATCTGCCTTAATTATGGTTAGTGTTTCACCTAACGTCAAAAAATAGACAAATTAAGAAGCGGCTCTATCTTTAATGTGCCGTGTGTTTATCTTTTTTAATGATGAGTGTGCATGTAGAAACTGAGAACGAGCAGAAGATGAGAGCGCGCGGGAATACCAGTGCGCCGAGGTCTTGTTGGAATCATTAGCGGGTTAGCGTAAAACTAGGTTCTTTGTCTATACTCACAGTTCGAACGGATTCCCACGTGAAGCGCCAGCCTCCGCCTTCGAACACTGAGCGTCTGCACACTAATTTCTTTTGTATACAAATAAAAGAGTAGAATGATGAAATGTTACGCTAGGTGGCGCAAGCTGCCGCCCGTTACAAAGGGTACAGCTATTACCATCCATCTATCCGTCCATCCAATCATTCAATGATGTTCCGAATTTTCCGAACGCTCTCATTTCCTCCTGCCCCCCACTGTCTACCTGCGTAATAAAGCTCTCGTTTCAGGCAAGAGAATGTGCCCTTCGGAAGCACTGTCATCGTCGCAAATCTTCGTCTACGTGACCAGCATCCTTCAGAAGTTCAGCGTGCACCCCGAAGACGACACTACCCAAATCAACCTGATCACCGATTGCGTCACGTTCAACACACCGAAGCCCCAGAAGTTACGCTTCATCCGTCGATGACTTGCGAATGACAACGGAGGCGCCGTCAGCTCCTTTCATCCGTGTCTGTCTGCTTCTTGCCGAAAAAAACTTCGCATCGTGTGTTTGAAATTACTTAAGAGCGTGCACAGGGTTTCTCCGTCGGCATACTTCGGACGCAAACCCGCGTATGCGACTCGGAATTGACGGCGCGGGGGGCGGCAAAATTGTTTCTACGGGACTCCGAGCCACGGGCATTCACTTCTTGCGCACCCGCCTTCGTCACGCGGCACGAGTCCGTGCACGTATCTCCAATGGACTTCTTCCAAAACCGACGCGCCCCTTCGCGGCGAAATACCACGCAGTGCACTCTGGGAACTAGTTGGCCACTCAGTTTCGGTTTCGACTGAGCACTTTCATCTCGTGCTATCACGCCGCGACCGAACGCGCTGCTTGCGTTTTTGATTATCTGACTTTTCACGAACGTACAATACACTCATTCTCGAGCGATACAAAACGAAGACCGGGGCACTTTCCTTGGTTCCCGAAACACCGGATATTGTGCGTGCGTATGCGAACGTAGTAAGTCGTGGTTTAGTCACCTCACCCCACGAGTGCATCTTTGAGCTCAATGTCGGTAATCCCGTCTAGTACCAGTGAACTACAACTGAAATTTGTTCGTCTGGAGCCTTACACGCATTTTGTTTGCCAAACGTCCGCTTCTTGTTACTTCACTGGGCAAAAAGCAAGCCGCATCCTCACAGGGTATCAAAGTTGAGGCCAGCGTTTACGCATGAACTTTTAAGGAAACGCAATAAATTCGACCTCACTACTGCACAAAAGTTACTATGATGTCTTCCTCGTGTCATCATATATCTCCCACTCAAATTTTATGCTGATAGAAGGTTAACTTTTCGCAAACGCTGAGATCGGCTAGCTACGACGGAGGCCATACAAGCGTCCCCTACTCCTCGCTTAGCCTTTTTGGACGAGCTTTTACTGACGCCCGAGATCTGTGCCGGGAACGGTGTCTGAAATTATCTCGGCATACTCAGTCAGAGAGAAAGCAAACACATAACAAATATCATGGCCATTACCAACCGTCAAATGCGCTTTGAATTCGTTCGAGCACTTGTCTGAAGAATGTCGCACCGTGCGCCGGACGGGCATGAACCCCAATGCGGTGCGCATAGCGGTTCATGCCCGTCTGACGTACTTCCGGCGAACGGTGCGACATTCTTCACACAAGTGCTCGACTTTTGCATTCTTAAAACAGTCTGTATGCGCGAATGTGCCTATATGATTTCAGGATAACTTTATGCGCATACGCGATGTTGAATATTAGTGAAATGCAAGCGGGTGAGGACTTCACTTCGTGCAGTGCTGCGTGTCAGTACAGATAAGAGATAAGAAGTGTTTTAAAATTGAGCTTTTCGATGGCACCTCCGAGTTTTACCTCGCATAATCAGGCACATTAAGAAAAACAGTAATTGCAAAAAGAAATATTTCGTCTATGGACGCACGAAGCAAACAAACTTTCTGATCAACAACACTAATGTAAAGGCGCGAGCTCGATATATGCATACTTATTGTTTGCTACAGCTTGTCGATTCGTACACAAGCAAGATCCCCGAGCACCCGAGCTTCGCAGCGTCGAGAATCCCAGCACTGGCTCGTCCACATACCTCGATTGGAGCGCTAACAGGAAGGCTCAAGTACAAAAATACAACAAGCATGTGTTAAGACAAGCTATACGTCTCGGGCTTGTGCTAAAGCTTCGAGGTCTGGCCATTTAGGCTAGTTTCGAAACCACAAATGACGCTCTCGGGACCAGAAAACAATCTCTTGTCGACGTGTCGACCGAAACCGAAACCATGCCACCCTCCTCCCTGGCCAACTAGTTCCCAGAGTGCAGCGCGCGCTGTGTTGCATGCAGGGCTTTATGGAAGTAGTCTATTGCCGCACAAGCAGAGACATGGCTGCGGCCAGATGACCTGCTTGCAAATGTCTATAGCGCACTTAGTAGAATCTGGTAGAACCTTGGTGGAAAAAAATAAAAAACCAGGCATGTTTCGACTCATTTGCAGTCATTTCTTCGTGCGCCCTTTTATGTTATCACACCCCAATTTATGGGTGTCGGCCATCGCGCCTTTTTTTATTTTCCTTTCTGACGGCCGTATACCGAATTCGGAGGGCGTACTGTGCAGTCACAACACCCTAATGAAAAGGTGTACAGCGGAATCACACCCTAATTTAAAGGGGCACTCAAGTGGTTTTCTAGTTCGTGTTTTGATAATGACAACTGAATCTAGACGCCCTAAGTATCCCTAAAAACCAAATAATATAATCATACGGTGATTATTTTTTTAATAAAAATATAATTGAAGGCCGCCAAACCTCGGAACCACCCAAAAACGAAATCACTCTCATTGGTCACCGTTCACACATCAAAACGATCTCGGGCCAATGGTGTTGGACGACGTTCCGTCGCACAGTGATTCTGGGTTAGCCGCACCTGCCGAACTTCTTTGTCATTTGAGCTTCGATCATGGCGGAATTCTCTACGCTCGAGGACCTGACGCCGCTAGAGGTTGAAATTCTTCGGCGGGCAGCCGACCTGGGGATGATTACCTATGACCAGGGGCGGATTCAGAGGGGGTTCCGGATGTCCTGACCCCCCTCTTGAATTCTGCGTGTGTAAAAATTTAGGGAGTGAAAACGGGAAAAGAGGGGGGGGTCTTAAACATATGATACGCTGACCAACACCTGACCCCCCCCCCCCCCCCCCCTCAAGAAATACCTGCGTCCGCCCCTGCTTACGACGCCACTCCGACGTGCGATGTCTGGCCTCGAGATCGACCTAGAGGTGGCGCTACGGTCGCGCTATCGTCATCATCAAAGCGGGGATAGGAGAACGGCCGCCCCATAGGCTCTCCACGGTCGCGCGCGAAACGGCGTAGATTCTTGCGTTTATTTTGTCGCATACTATCGGTGGGAAAACAATTCTAGCGGAAAAAGATGCAGTACTGTTCGGTACTTCAGTGAAGATCGAATCGTGTTCCCAGCGTGCGGCCCAAATTTATATAATCGCTTCTGTGGGAGCGTCGTCTGCTGTTGGCAGACGTTGGAAGGCATGGATCGCCACGACTGATGCCTGTCTCCGGCTGAACTGGAATATTTATGTTAATATTTGTTTCTTTTAAGATGGATGTATCGGTTCATCAACGTGGGAATTAGAAAAAACAATAAATTCCAGCCCAGATAACATAATACCGGTACTGTGGGCTGTGAAATCGCAGCTTCTATGCTTTTTTAACGTCTAGTTTTTGCAGTAATATTAATATTTAAAATGAAGATAAAATGGCGCTGCATTGGAAATTACCATGCTTTTGAGTTCCTCTGCCCTTTTACTGTGCCATAGTGTGGGTAATGTTTTTAGAGTCTGAACAAATCTACCGCGTTGCGATGAGGGGAGAGTGTCTCTTCTAGTTAAAATCTGCAAACTGCGCGGTTGGGAGGACAACTGAAACAAGTGTAACAAACTGTTCTAATATATCTGCCGTGACTGTAATAAACGAGTGTAACCAAGCGACGCAGCAATGTTCCTATTATTAAATGCTTTTCTCGGTAGTGTGGGTTCACCCGCTTCAATTTTCTTGCTGAGAGCCGCGGATGTCAAGAGGCTAATACTATAAACTTCTGGCTAAATAATCTTCTATTCAAACCAGGTAGACTTTGCAACCCAAACAAACGACGCGCACTTCAACACAGACAGCATCGGCCGCAGTGATACTTTTTTACTGATGAGGGCTAGCAACCTTCACAAGACTTTCCGATCACCCCCCGCCCTCACCATAACGTATAACGGGACTGGGCAGTTCATCGATTAACTTTCAGATTATTCAAGTAATGCTTTAATTGCAATTTTTTGGCCGGTTAATTGGAGTCTTGTGCTGGAGAAAGTCAACAAGGAGTAAGAAATGCCTGCTTTAATATTTTTTTACGTCCTTACTTCTTTTGTGACACAGGCTTGCACGGTAAAACACTTCAGCGTGGTTTACCATTTATCATTTCGCCGAGGGTGATTATACTGTTTAAATAATAACTTAAAAAATACTTCTCTTTAAAAGGCTTCCGTGTTCATATTTATGTAGGACTCACAACGTGAAGTTTATAATGGGAATGCAATATGCCATTTATGACATAGTAAAACCATTAAAAAAAATTCGTTTTAATGTCTTTCACGCAATATGACCGGGGGAAAATCAACATACGGATTTATTGATTGATTAGTCTATTGAAGGATAGCGATCAGTCGGGTTAATTTTCTAATCAAACCACAGACCCACTCAACATTCAATGCTTTATGAAAGCCGCGGTTTGTGCGAGATAGCAAAGATACGTGGGACCAGCGATTGTATAAAAAAACAACACACTAAGATTATGGAAGCCTCCGACTTAATAATCATCGCTTTGCTGTATTTCTACGCATGGCAAACGATACAACACAACCTTTAGCAAGAAGAAACGGCAACAAAAACATGAAACATTTAATAAAGAATGTCAAGCTCAGCCTGAAACGGGCTTGCGTCGTCGAAATCTATGCTTCTGAGCGTGCGTCCGTAGCAGACGACGCACGGCGGCATCCCCGCTTTCGCGCGTTTCCAATTTCGGCCGCACGGTGGCAGCGCTTTGAAGTCGTGTTCTGGTTCCGAGGACGACGAAACGCAGACCATTTTGGCCGTTCTTCGCTTTGCGGTTGGGGCAAGTCGTAACCAAACCAACGTTTAGCATCGCAGCGTAACCTCTGGTACGGGATGTCAAACGATGTCGCCACGTTGACTTTCGTCTCGGGAGGACGGCAGGCTGGTTCAGACATGTGCAACGAGCGCGTTACCTACGACTGCGTTCGTTGCAACCGGAGCGACCGGAACGACCGCTCTGCGCCACACGTACACACACCTGCTACCACTGCAACAAGCGCAGCGGGTCCGCAGCACGGCGACCGCGTCTACGCCGCCGTCAGCTCTTTCAGAGGCGCCTCTAAAAAGGGGACGCACTGCCACTCAATGCCTTAACAGACAATTTTCTATGGCCTGAAGCTTTTTTTTTTTTTTCATGATAGGTTTGCAGGGTACAGCGGATGAAAAGCAAAGAAAAGAAAAAGATGCAGTACGCCGTCTCGGACGATCAGGACCCT